TCTGGCAGATATGAGGTAGCTCTTTGTGGTTTTAATTGGCATTTCTCTGTTTATTAGTGACATTGAGCATCTTTTTATAAGTCTATTGGCTATCTGTATGTCCTCTTTGGAGAAGTGTCTATTCAGATCCTTTGCCTATTTTTAATTGAATTAACTTCCTGATGTTGAGTTGTTTAACTTATTTATATATTTTGGAAATTAACCCCTTATCAGATGTCATTGGCAAATATGTTCTCCCATATAGTGGGTTCCCTTTTCATTTTGTTGATGGTTTATTTTGCTGTGCAGAAGCTTTTTAGTTTGACGCATAGTTTTGATGCAACTCCTGTGTGCGGAGTTTGTTTATCCCTAACCTATTCCAGAAAAAAATAAAAGCAACTTACAAAATCACATAAATTAAGACTCCAAGTGAGCAAGAAGTAAGGGTGGAGATGGAAAATAAAACCAGGCATGATGCCAAGACATGCATCATGTCTATACACTTAGTGTGGGCCGGGGACACTGTTGGCTCCGGTTTTCTAGCAGTCAACACAGAACGAGAAACCTGGTTACGATGTCACGAAAGAAATACAGTTGCTTAGAAAAATTACAACCTTTTTTCACATAAATAAGAGTTAAAGTTTCTTCTCAATGGTTTTTACAAAGAGGATTCTGTACGATTTCATAAGCAATGTCTAGCAACACTCTTCCTTTGTACAATAGAGTTTCATGGTTGATTCTTATAGAGGATTTCAATGTGGTTGATGGCATTATACCAAAGATTATCTAATAAAATATTTTGGAATGAGCCAATCTCATTGTCAAGAACTATAAAGGATTGATATTTTACTGTATGTGCAAGCTAACACGCACAGTACATGGATGCTGGCAGGAGGCACAAGACTCCTGAGTCAAAGACAAAAAGGACTGTTTATTTATTCCTAGCAATAGCAGTAGCCTGCATATCAGTATTTATGCCAGTTCTAGGAGCCCCAGTGCCCAAAGGGAAGCACAAGGAGGTATAGGTGACAGCTACACATTCCATGGGTTGTATTATAGCAAATGAGCTCTGGCCTTAGGAAATCTGAATCTTTGATAATAGGAAGTGAACACGTGTTCCCTTTTCTCCAGAAGGAACCATTACCTTTATTACAGGGGCAGTAAATAAACTTCTATCTTCCAAAACTGTTTGCTATACAAATATTCTTTTTAAGTTTTTTAAAATATTTAAAAATATTTTTTATTGATTTCAGAGAGGAAGGGAGAGGGAGAGGGAGAGGGAGAGAGAGAAACATCAATAATGAGAGAGAATCATCAGCTCCCTCCTGTGTGCCCCCTACTGGGAACAAGCCTGCGACTCAGGCATATGCCCTGACCAGGAATGGAACCGGGTGAATTCTTGGTCCCTGTGTCCACGCTAGATCTCTGAGACACACCTGGCTGAGCTAAAATATTTTTTTATTGATTTTTGGAGAGAGAAGAAGGGAGAGAAAGGGGTGGGGAACACTGATGTGAGAATGAAACATCCATCATCTGCCTCCTGCATGTCCTGCACTGGGGATTGAGTCAGCAACGTAGGGATGTGCCCTGACTGGAAATGAAACCAGCAACCTTTTGGTACACACTAGATGACCAACTGAGCCAGACCAGCCAAAGCCAAACAATCTTGAAAAACAAGCCTGGAACACAGGGAATCAGTGCCTCTTCTCATAAGATGTGCAGCAATGGGAGGGACCTTGAATTGTCTTCTAACAACTATAAATCCAGTCATACTCTAGTTGCCTCTGGTTTAATTCAGAGCTAACCTTTAGACTATTTGGAAGAACTGATGAATTTTGCCTCATTTGATACTTACTCATTGTACTTACTGCATTTTCATTAATATGCACTGGGTACAGTGATATGGCTCCCGCCTTCACAGGATAAAGACAATACGCATATATTTTATGTGTTTTTTCAGCAGTTCTTTCTAAATGTTCCCAATGGGATTTTTTTTTAACAGCAGTTTTAGGTTCACAGCAAAACTGAGCACAAGGTAGAGATTTCCCATATACCTACTCCTCGACCCCACACATTTAGAGGAACATCATATAGTTTCCTCCCTCCCCATACCAACATCCCCATCAAAATGGTACATTTGGTACAACTGATGAGCCTAAATTGACACATTGTTATTAACCAGAGTCTATTTTTTACATACGGTTCACCTCAGTGTTGTGCATTCTATGGAGTTGAATAAGTGTGCAAAACTAGTTTTTTTTCGCAGATATTGGTGAATACAATATTCTAAAATCTCACAAGCCATGGAGCTTTAGATTTCTATATTTTCAGATAAATAAAGACACAGCCAGAGCTTCGTGTTGGCATTCTCTCCTGACAGCTGAGAGACCCCCACCAGGGTGTATGGATCATCTCCAGTGAACCCGTGGCCAGAGGGTAATTCTCCATTGAATATGGCCTTAGATCCTCTAATGATTAGTACATGCCCACAGCTCTGGAGTTTTGTTTTGCTTTTTTAAATATATGTTATTGATTTTAGAGAGGAGGAAAGAACAAGAGATAGAAACATCAATGATGAGAGAGAATCATTGATTGGCTGCCTCCTGCACACCCTCCCCCCGCCCCCACCACCATCACTGGGGATGAAGCCCGCAACCCAGGCAAGTGCCCCTGGCCGGAATCGAACCTGAGACCCTCGGTCCCCAGGCTGACGCTCTATCCATTGAGCCAAACCAACAAGGGCGTCTGAAGTTTGATTCCATGTAGCAAGCAAGACGCTTACAGTTCCTCTGGGCTATTTGTCCACCTCCCGCTTGGGTTGGACTCTGACATGATAGGAAGCTTTTTGTTCGTTGAGAAGTGAAATGTCGCCTCTAACACGGTCTGCTTCTTTATGGCGTGCCCCTTCCCTGGTCTTTTGAGAAGACTTTTAGTGTCTTCACTGAGTGCTTAGTGTCCTACTAGTTAAGGCAATAAATCACCTTTTCTGGTCAAAATAATCAGAGATCAGCCTTTATTTAATTAGCTCCCAGACAGTTTCAAACTGCAAATAATGATTGCTCAAGCAGCCTACAGGCCAAGCCGAGGCTGATCCCGTAATTCCATTACCTAACCCGCGGACCAGCCCCGCACACAGCCTTCTTCTCACTCTTTCTGCTCGGTTATTTTTTCCCCTCAGGAACCTGTCGTTTCTGCTGGCACAGGGGCCGCCCTGGCAATGGCATATAGAGGCGGGATCAGCGGTGCCAGCTGGATGCATGTCCAGGCTCGGGTTCGAGAGAGCTGCCTAAGTGAAGTAAAAAATCAGAGATGAAAAGACCTGGTAAATAACCCGATCCCGTCCGTCACCGGTGCCAGAGCATTCCTATGGTCGCCGGCTCTAATGACTTTCACAATGTGCCTGCTCACGCTCTGTTCCGGAGGCAGCGCTGCCTCTTCAGTTTCTCTTTGGGAAGTTTATCGGCTAGAATCTCGCTTGACCAGAGTTAGTCCACTTCCCTCAGCTTCAGCAGTCCACGAAACAGTATAAATGTACAGCCAACATTTAAAGCACTTTATTAAGGCGGCCTTTCCAGCAAGGGCAAGGCCTATATTCAGGCAACTGTGAAGTGGGAGGAGAGCAGACACTCATGAGCGTTGGAGATAGAAGCACCCAATTAGAACACAGTTCTACTTAAGTGGGGAAAATATTTTCATTGTTTTCAGTGACTGTTAGTTATTAAATGCTTCCCGGGGTCAGGTACTATGGTAAATGCTATTCCAAAAATCCTGCTAGCAAATGTATGAAATCGGTGCTATCATCTCTACTTCAGAAATTAAAGTTTAGTAATTATGAGGGCACAATCCAGGGTTAAATTGACTGATTAAAATGCCAGCTCTGTTGCTGACTAGTTATGACCTTGTGCCTGTCACGTATCCTCTCAATGCCCAGGGTTTGTCAGCTGTGAAGTAGAGATGATGACACTGACTGCTTGTTGGTTATTTTGAGGAATAAATGTTTTAATTTATGCGAACTGATCATATCAGCACCTGGCATGAAGCAAGCCCTTAAATGTAAGCAGAGTTGATGAGCTAGCGATGGAGCAATTTGTTCAAAGGCATCTGGCATACACATTTAAACTCTGGTCAGTTCTATTGCAAAGCCCATCCGAATTATTAACCATTAGAATACACTGTCAGGACATTTAACCTGTCTAAGCTTCAGTTTTTCTCACATATAAAGTGGTGATGTCATCATACTTCCTATACAGTCACTGTGAAGATTAAATTACAATAATGTGGGCAAAGATACTATTACAGAACATGGACCAGAGCTTCAGACAATCAGTGACAATGAGTTCACTATATCTCTGCATCTATATCCACAGATTATCAGTCTCTCTCTCTCTCTCTCTCTCTCTCTCTCTCTCTCTCTCTCTCTCTCTCTCTTTCTCTCTGGTGTGTGTGTGTGTGTGTGTGTGTGTGTGTGTGTGTGTGTGTACAATGAATAGCTATGTAGCCAAGTATTCACTTTTAAATGTTTCTTATAATACTAAAACTTCAGAATGGTTAAAAGCGCATTTTTATGAGTTTACTCCCATTTAAAAAAAGAATTGGGTTGGTGTACTAGATAATTAGAAACAGTTTCCTTCCTAATAAGGTTTTATTTTATATTTTTAACGTTCCAATGTGTCTTTCTGGATTTTAAAAAATAGCCCAACCAATGTTTCAACATTGACTAAATACTTTTTCTTTCACACATGCAGATTGAACATAAGTTTGATGTTTATGTCACAGAGGGAAGAGGCAGACAGTTATAACCTAGCAGGAAATGTTATGATATGTTTTTGCTGTTGTGCCTTTCTTTTTTTTGGTGTGAGAAAGGGTGTGATGTCATCCTGTCTCCACCCCCTGTGAGTAAGCCCACAGCACGGCTCAATGCAGCCGCCCGCCTCTGTCACCCGGAGACAGTCCACTTAAATGCAGCTCCAGGGTTGCGGGACACCCACCAGCATCACTCCCCGTGAGGTGGCAAATGCAACATGCTGTCCAGCTTGGGGTGTCTCCTTCTCTGTGGAAGTTTTGCACTAGCCCTGGGAAATGCACAGAAATTGCCAAAAGGCAAGTAGCTCTGATGTTTTGTGTTTTAACAATAATTTTTTAAGCGATAATAGTTTTGAAATGTTGACGTTAAATGTGATCTGCTTTTCCAGATTTGGGGGAGGGGGGAATGGTGTTTTATAGGGTGGATAGTCTAAGTTCAAATGTGTGGAAGAGTTACTTTTATAAACTTTTACTCCCCCCCCCCTCTGTTATTTACTTTTCAGTTGGATCTCTTTATTACAAAAATAAAAACCAGGTTCTTATTAGGTTTAGCAGATGTTCACAGGAGCTTGAATTGGTATTGTGTCAAAGTACAGTATTTGTATGTGGAATCAAATTATGTTAGATGAGCATTGTAGTCTGTTAAAAAGAGTTGTTTGGTATTTTTAATCCCCCTTCCCAGAGACCAAGCCAGTACTATCTTAAGGTTTTAAAGAAGCTAATTCGGAAACCTGGAGTCTTTGGTGTAAACCTCACGCACACCTGTTCACTTGGAGGTTTGAGGATCCTAGCATTGGCTCATCGGTCATGTGTCAATTCAAATTCATAGACAGGATTCTTCAATGAAATTTGATGAGTTTTGATCTGCTGGACAGGACACTCCCCCCTTTCCTGGCTAAATGCTCTCATTTTAGAATCAGCATTTTGTTTACAAATGTCATCCGCAGCAAATTAAAATTTTGAAACAATCTTTTGAGTCCATCAGCATGAAAATAAGAGCTTTCCTGTCTCCTGCCTTTAAACGTAAACGTTACATGTCCTTTTTTTTTTTTTTTTTTTTTTTGTTCCTTTGCAAAGGCACTTTCCGAAGCCAACTTCAGGTCCGAGAGGCTTTTTATGGTGACAGACTGCTTTAGTCAGCAGGATTAGGGAAAATACAATGGAAAACAGTGGAGGTAATGCAGAGCCACAAGCTTGTCAAAACCCTGCTGGGCGTGGAGTCAGAAAGCAAGGCTGTTAGTGTCAGATCATCTAAAGATCCTTCCTAGTGGGTAGTTTGTCCCAAGTGACAATTGTTCTCTCCTCAGTGTGTTGAGTGAAAGTTGAATCTAGAATTGTGAAGGCTGAAGGGTTTGGCTAGTTGATCTTTCACATGATCATATAAAGAGTATAGAAAAAGGCAAAGTTAAACTCTGATTGGATAATTATGCAAAGAAAAAGTAAAACAAGGACACACTATTAGATTTTTATCTTCTATCAAGAATTTTGTTTTTTGATCATAGAAGTGTTGTAATATATCAATTATGAGACACAAGCATAAGCATTCAGAATTAATTGTTCCTGCTGCTGAAATATTTAATAAGAACACACCATTTGAGAGGAATCCAGAGGTTTTCTCAGGCTCAATTTTCACCTTGGTTTTATTTTACCTTTTATTCACTGTGCAGGGGTAATAGTCACAATTTGTTACTGCAGATTTCTGCAAATTCCAAGTGATTTAATTATCATGTTGTAATCACTGGGTATAAATCTGTTGACATAATTTTTAAAAATATGCTATGGTAAAAAAATTATCAAAACAGCCACAAAATTCTTCTTTAGTCCCAATACACTTCAATCTGAAGTATTTTTATCCAGGATTTTTTTTGTTTGTTTGTAATTTTTGGAAATATCCATAGTTTTGGTAATATTATAAAGTGAGTGGGAATCTCCTTGCCTGTAATGCTATATTTTTTCTTTATTATGAAAGCTACAAAGAAACTTTCTTTTAGCTTTAACTGAAGTTGTCTTTCTCAAAATGTATTTCAGGAATAGGTGTTCTGTCCTCAAAAGGGGGTTGGGGAGCATCTACTCTCAATAACTTGGGGAGCACTCATGCTTCGTCTGCTTTCGGGGAGTCACAATAAACATAAGAATTTTACAGGTTCTGAAACTTCTTAGTTAAGAAACCTGTCCAACTTTTTTAACCTATTGTTTCCCAAACTCATTTGACTAAGAATGATTTTCTGGTGGAATAACTATAATATCTGGCCAGGGGCTATCTTTCAGCAGAACACATTTGGGGAAATGCTGAAACAAACAAGGAAAACATGGATAACACCTTTTCTTCTTTTCTAATTTAGACTCAGTTAAATATAATTTGTGATCTAAGAACAGGATAGAATTTTGAAGCTAGAAAGTGCTTTAGTGTGATCACATAGTTCAGTGTTCCCTGACCTTTGGGTTTATAAACCAGTAAAAATTCATGTGTTTTTAATGTCAGGTCCTGCTATGGAGGACATACTTGAATTTTGCCAGGTAAGGATATCAAAGGGGAAAAAAAAATCACCATTGTTTATTTAAAAATAGCCACTTTAACAGATTTATAAAATAAGCAAATTTATGCAAATATATCTATTGTTCTTATTTTTCTCATTCCACCTCAGACTGATGAAGTTCATCACAGGCCAACATTTGGGAACTACTGACCTAATACAACCATGTATTTTCAAATTAAGAAGGGCAGGGGAAGTTTAGTAACTTTCCTACATTGATGGAAGAACCAGAACTGAATCCTGGGTTTCTCATTTGAAACTGTATTCTATTTGAGATATACACTGAGTGGCCAGATTATTGTGATTTCTGAACACATAATAATCTTGCCACTCAGTATATATATATTAGAGGCCTGGTGCATGAATTCGTGCATGGGTGGGGTCCCGCCAGCCTGGCCATGGGGAGGGGACATGGGCAGTTGGGAAGCCTGCCTGCTAGTCGAACTCCTGGTTGAGGGGACAATTTGCATATTAGCCTTTTATTATATAGGATATACACTGAGTGGCAAAATTATTATGCCCTCAGAGATCATAATAGTCTGGCCACTCAGTATATTATATTCTGAACTCTCCAGAAATTCATCTGGAACAAACAAACAAACAAACAAACAAACAAACAAAAAAAACAGGGGGGGGCAAAAGTAGGGTTACAGTTCATATGGAAAATAATACAATAATTGATAAATAATTTATATATATAAAAGCCTAAGTGACTGTTACAACCAGGAGACTGGACAACTGGATACCGGCTGGTAGCTATGATGCACACTGACCACCAGGGCAGACACTCAATTCAGGAGCTGCCCCCTGGTGGTCACTCCCACAGCTAATCTCCCATGGCCAGCAAACCTCCCGTGGTAACTCCCCCTGGCCAGCCAGCCCTGATCAGGACTGGACGAGATGGCCCGATAGACCCCGATGGCCAGTCAGGCTGAGGGACTCCACCATGCATAAATTCATGCACCGGGCTATAGTAATACAATAATAAACTCTGTGTTTTGTGTACTCACAACTGTAATCCTACCTTTGCCCTACATATTTTGTTATTTATAAGAAAAAGAAATAATTTTTAATAAGAAGTCACTCATTGCATATCTTATGCATGTTTGCATATCTAGTAACATACTTATAGAAAATAAATTATAAGAGTCTTACTGGTTTTTAAAAGCTTAAAGTTGGAGACTATTATTAACAGACTTCTTGTATTTACTTCTCAATTACTATATTCTTTGATAAATCATTTACCTTTGCTAAGCCTCAGTTTTCTCATCTGAAAATGGGAATAATGTTAATAATCACACAGTATTTTAAAATTAAATGCAATAAGAGATGCAAAGCTTTTAGTGAAGAGTCTAATATATAATAAGTATTCATTCAATAAATATTATTGGGTCACAGAAAAGTGGGTCAATACTGAAAAAAAAAATATGCATTCCAAATAATACATGTGTCCAAACTGTTAGATAAACCTCTTGGAGGATAGAAAGTGTGGTGACAAGTTCTTGGCAAAAAGGTGGGGCAAGGGAACAAGTGTTGCTCTACAATGAGAGAAGGCCTCAACCACGTTCCAGCTTGACCATTGTCAGCACAGTGTTTGATTGTCAGTGGAAATCTGCACCTTTGCCTTAGGATCAGCTTTTCCCTGGGGATTGGTAAGGCCTCATGGAACCTTCAGGAGACATCCTTTTGTGCTTTTTTCCAGGAGCAGGATTATGCTATAACACACAGGCCCTAGAGAAGAATTACCACATTGCTTTATACCTTCGACATCCCTGTGCTCCAGCTACCTCGCAGAATCTTTGTTCTTGGCAACATAAAATTTCTTCTCTCCCCGCCCCCACACACACACCCGCCCCTGGAGTCAGGTTAAAGTAAAAACCACAGAGGACACACATATAGTGAAGGAAGCCAACAGAAACTTATGATGAGACATGAGGGGCTTAACACACCTCTTTGCAGAAAATCCCGTGTAATAAGCCAGAAGGCAAAGGCTACTATTTCCAGCCAGCTCCATCAGTCCTCCTGAGGCACATGGGCAGAGAGCCGCCACAGAGGAGCATCAGGATACAAGTGCAATCGGATGGACCGAGGGCATGAGGCTCTTGGGAGCAACTCTTGTCTTGTGGCAAAGGAAAGGCACAGCCGGCTCTTTGCCTCAGGTTCTTACCTGATGAGGTAGGGATCTCTGACTCTAAGGACAAAACACACAGGGATAGATGATAATGACAAGAATGTTCATAGCTATTAATAACTGTTATTATTATTTTCACAGATAACATTCTTTGGGCTCATATTAGTTAGTTGTGGTAATTTATGGCTAAATATTCTTAATGTGGAAAATCTAACTAAATTTCCAAGTTTTCCTATAAAGCGGGTGTTTTATTACTCTCGTTTTATAGAGCATAAAAAATGTGTGCCTCAGTGTTTAAGTGATTTGCCCAAAGTCACTCAGCCAGCAAGTGGTAAAAGACTACACCCTTAATTTCTATGTAGTACCAGTTCCTTGCTCCATGTAAAGATATGCTAATTTGTTCATGTAACAAGTTATAGTCCATAAACATGCAGAACTCCTGAAGCTGGGAAGACACAGCTCAGCACTTGTCTTCAGGGAGCTGACCAGTTACTGGAAGAGACAGGAATGGATAGGCACCATTACAATCAAGTGAGATCAGCATCTGATTTGGGAGAAGCACAAACAGCTTTGAGAACAAGCAGGAGAACCCAATCCTGACATAGAATTAAGAATTATAAGAGAACTAGTGG